ATTCAAAAACAACACATGAAATCGTCGATAAGATCGATTCAATACGATAAAATAGCTCAATGTATGTAGTTGGCATTTTTTTTTTCAAAGACAATTTTCACATTTCAACAAAAATTGGTTTGAGCCGAATTCTAATGCTAATATAGAGTAGAGAATCCTAGATTATCGAAATGATATCAACACAAAGAGACAGGATTTTTTTCTTTTAAGCTTTCTGTATGCTAAGTGAGAAAAAAAAGAATTAAATGGTCAGACATTGTACACACACAGAGAGAGAGAGAATGTCAGTAGCATTGAAAGTGTTCAATATCCAATTTTTACAGACAGAGAGAATTTTAGTTTTAATCAAAATTTTCATCGTTTCTGGATTTATCACCGGGAGACAATAGAAAATGAATAGAGAAGAATATGAGCCAAAATGTGGGATTCGTTCAATGTTTTTTTTTGAAAAATGTTGTTAAACTGTATAGCAACATCAGGATTTTGGGAATGAATAAATCTTTCATAAATTTCTATTCATCTCATTTTTTTTCGTTTTTTCTATTATAAAAAAAACATAATAATATGGAGTAATTTATTTACAACGTAAATAGTATATACAGTCATGAGCGATTATATTGTTTTCTCTATTTATTCTTTGCTTAGATTAGAAAAAATACCGCATAAATGAGAATTAGATAAACAGAAAGATGCATGCATCATGCTGTATGCAAGAATTACTGTTAGAAATTCAAGCATATCCTTTATACTACTATGATACTATGATATCGACCCTAAACAAAGTTATGCAATAGAGAATAGTTGTAGATCGCTGTTCCAAAAAAGGCTACACACACACAGTATTAGAGGCCATAAACCTTAATTATGAATGAGAATAGAAACCGTAATTAATATTTTACATAACAAGCACATGAATCTCTGAATATACGGCAACAACAAAAAAAAAGTTTAATTTTGGATGCTACCAACATTCACAAGACACACAAGAATCGATTGATGGATAGATGTATGGATAAAGAGTTTCAACGGTGCATGAGTAATGATACAGAACGAACAACCGACCAACCTCAATCACACACGATGTGCATCACAATGTGTAACTAATCCAAACATTCATGGAAACCATATTGATCCAAGAGAAAGTGTGCCAGATGCCAACATCATCATCATCATTATCATTATGATGGGTGGGCAAAGAACATAATACATATATACCTCACCATTCTCAGTTTACGAAAAAACACTTTTTCCCTGTATATGGTCACTTAATGCATATCTATTTTTTTTTTTTTTTGTTGCTACAATAAACTCACACCAAAGCACAATGAATGAATGAAAAAAATCAGATTTTGGGAAAAAAAATTTCAAATTCAAAACTTTTGTATAGAAATTCAACTTTTAGATTCCAGCATATAAATGTGTGCTTTGTGAATTTATATGCAAATTCTTTTATTCTGAAATTCAGTATGTGTAATGAACAAAAAAAAGAGAAAAAATTTATTGATAGAGTTTGAGAAAAATTGAATCAACCAAAATTCATTGACTTGAAGTAATGAAGAAAGAAAAAATGAAATAAAATGAATATCGATCATCCGATTCTTTGAATTCAATCATAATAATGATGAGGATCATCATCAATATCATTCGTGACATTGAATGAATACATCAAAAGTAATGGATCTGATTAATTGAAAAATTTAATTAAGTTTTATTTACAAATGATCTTTTAAAAACAACAATAATTTTACTAATGTTTTTAAAATCACAATTAGATGTAGAAAGTAAAAAATGGGAACATCTCTTTTAGCAAAATGAATAAAGAATCGGTTTTCAAAGTTTTCAACGCACCAAAAAAAAATAGTCAATTTAATCAAGACAAATTGAAATTGTTTTACCGTAGTAAACAGGAAACATCATTTATTCATTATTGTTTTCACTGAGCCTGAATATTCTGCTGTATATGTGAATTGTTATCAATAATTAATATTAATTTCCAATAACAACAAACAAATGTTTTTATATGCTGAGCATAACAAACTATCATAAATTACTTTAAGTTTCTTGTCATCAATGATGAACAAACGGCACTTGTTCAACTAATATCGATTTTAACTTCATGATGATGATGATGATGATAATCAAAATGATCATCTCTTACTTGAGCTCAAGAAATCGAGAAGAACAAAATCTATTGCATAATTTAAATGGCATAACATGGATAAACGATACTACAAAATCGAATCAGGTGCACGTGGAAAAATGAGAAAAACAACAACAAGAATAAAAAAATCTTTTTTTTTCTTGAAAAAATATCGATTTTATAATCTAACTCTCTCTTGGAACATCAACGACAAAAGAATAACAATAGTTTGAAATAGGAAAAAAAACAAAATGAAATATGTCAAGCACGAACTAAAATTTAAATACGATGAAAAAGAATAAACACAACATCAAAGTGATACAACATATACAAATCTATGATGATTTTCAGGGATTTACATCCAATTTCAATTTTATATCGGATTTTTTTTTCTGCGTGACAACTTTTGCCTGCTACATCATACATAAAGATCTGATTGGGATCGATTTCGTTGATGACGTCGAAATCGCAAGAATCGGATACGGCAACCCATGAAAAAAAAGAAGACAAACAATATACGACAAAAAAAAATCTGACAGTTGACAAACTTGTGTAATAAAAAGAAAAAAAAATTCGCACGGTTCGTAAACATCCAAAAATTTGATTCAAACACTAATAGCGGTCACATGGCATTTATCGGTTCGATGTTATGATGATGATGATGTTAGTATGAGGGGTTCAAACGAAATTGATTGGTGAACTATACAGTCAGCCAGCCAAACAAGCCCCAAAAATGATTGTATACAATATATGGATTTTCAATGTTCAAATCATTCAAGCTTGAAACCAGAAAAAAAATCGAATAAAAAAAAAAATTTGACAGCCGAATTATTGACGATTCATATATAAAAATACAAGCGGGTAGATAACCAAAAGGAGGAAACGGGAAAAATAATACAAGACAAGCCAGACTAAACATTACCGAATGAGGTATGTATCCGAAAACAAAACAAAACAAAGAAAAAACGGGCATGTCATCATGTCAATTCGATTCAATTGTAATGATCATCATCATCATCATCCACGTATGTATAGAAATCATACAATCAGGAGGAAAAAATCATTTAGAACAATAACGCGATTCGTTTACGCTCAATGATTTGTCATTATTATAATCATCGGATATACACTTGAATGATGAAGGCAACACATTTATAGTAGTAGAGATTATGGATATTTTGGCACCATTTTTTTTCTTGATTGTCACTGCCCAATGGACAAAGGGCGAGATGATTATGATTATTACTGTGATCATGATCATTGTGTATGTATATGATGATGTACCTCTATCCATTAATAACTATAACCATCAATGACACATGCATACATGTATACACATACAATGAATGAAACATAGTTTGACCAAAGAATCTAGTCAAGCTAGTGAAACAAACATTATTCATCTATGCATCAATGAATGGCCATAATCATGCAAACACATACATGCAAGTACATAATACATAGCCATTAACACGAATACATTGACATGGACAATGGACACGCGAACACACATTAAAACCGTACATAAAAAGCAGTGTAAAGATGAATATGAATTTCGGTACTAAAGGTAAAAAGTCTTTATTGATTATAGTATAAATATTGTTCCATTCCGAATTGGTTTTTTGTTTTCTTCACACATATATATCCGGATTTAATATCCGACAATCATTCGACCGAAATATACATAAGGCTTTTTGTTGTTGTTGTTGTTGTTGTTTTACAACAAGAAAAAACAACAAAAATTGACTTTTATAAGTTGGTCGCCGAAAAAAAAAATTTGCACTTGATGAAATGTCTAATGTTTGCACAACACACACATGTGAAGTTGTTGTTACCAGAAAACAAAAATCGATTCAAAAGATTCACTCAGATCATTCAGTAGAATGAATATCATACCATCACATCATCATCATCATATCACAGAATGTCGATTAGCCAACGACAAAAAAAAAAAGACAACGAAAAAAAATGAGTTTCAAAAAAGTGTCATAAGCTTAGATTTCATTTTTTCAAATAAAAAAAACAATGTTCTCTCATTGCTGTTAAAATGGAGAAAATGTTCTCAACGATATACACATATACACTAACAATGCAATGATAGAATCTTTAATTGAGCTCGAAAGAAAAAAAAACTCTAGAAAAATGCAAGACAACCAAAATCATAAAAATACAATAGGGTCCGGAACAGTTTTTTGTTTTGAAAATAGAACAAAAAAACAAAGTTGTTTTAGGACAACATCAAAGTTTCAATTGTGTATGTGTTTGTGAATGATTCTAGAGAAAAGAATCGATTAATGTGCAACACATCAACAAAAGCGTGAAACACACACCCTCACAAGACATGTTCTCAACGATATACACATATACACTAACAATGCAATGATAGAATCTTTAATTGAGCTCGAAAAAAAAAAACTCTAGAAAATGCAAGACAACCAAAATCATAAAACAATAGGGTCATATGTTGGTTGCTTGCTTGATGAATGACAAAAAAGACTGTTTTAAGTCAAGAATACAAAGTGTTTAATTTTTTTTTTTTTTTTTGATTCTTCAACCAAGATATGGATCGAGATTTAAACAGCCATTTATATGATGAACATTCAATGACAGTAGGTCCCCGAAAAAAATGAAACAACGATTCCTGTCTCATGAGCCCGACAAATTCAATGATAGTGATGATGATATGATATAGTGATGAAAAATAGTCAGATTTTTTCCCCTTCTTTCTTACGAGTTGCCTTATTCAGTCCATTATCCATTTATGGATGATGACACTCGGGTTAACAGAGAGAAAAAAGTAATAGTATTCGTAACTACGACTAGAAATAACCCGGGGGAAATAGGAAAAAACGGTACTTACAATTAAACGTAAATACGAACTTCATATTGGTATATGAAGAATATATGGGATTCTGTTGCTGTAGTTTTTCAGTTGAAGTGATTCCCAAATGATTTTTTTACATATGATGCTAAGTTAGTTTAATCAACATTTTTTTGCTCATAAGCACAATGAACAAGTTTCGAGTATACACAATATAATAACACAAATATAATAGAATCACTGAAAGATTTCGTAGAATTGTTTATCAGTCAACGGACATAGAGTTTTAGGGGTCAAACAAGTTGTTCATCTTGAATACACTGACAATGTGAGTGTATCATACAATCAAATATACATGCAGAATATGATTATGGATGCATCAACACAACCGGATCGTTCAAATAGCAAACTTGGAATGCAAGTATACCGATTTAGCGCCACCGATTCCATTTTTTTTTCGTTTTTAGCTATCCGAATTCATCGCCCAAAAATCATCTCTTCCACTATCTCTGTTACAATGCATCTAGCATGTTGGAAAATCGTATACGATCTAGTGGTATCATTCGAATTCTGTTGGTTTGAGAATGTGAGAATGGGGTAGATTATATGATCATTTGTAAATCTAATTGGGAAAAATTTTCAACAGTAAATGAAATGATGATGGTAAAAATTCGAATGGATAAATTAAATTATAGAACAAACTAGACGAAACAATTCGAAAAAATTGAAATTATTATTCTCAATTTAATTTCAAAACAAAATTTTACCATTCCATAATTCATTCGATGAATGTTTCATTTTTTTCAACATTCGAAAAAAATCGAATTCTGCAATGCTCGACATCTAGTGATAGAAAATGTTAATTCTAGTGATGCCAAAAAAAATTAATAAATCAACACTAGATGGCAGCTGCTTAATTATGATTTTATTTTAAAACTCATCTGTGTTTAATCTCGATATTTAGCGCCACACATCGTACAAAAAGAAAGATATGACAAACGAATTTGAATTTATAATTCCTTTAATATTATTTTATTTACATCATTTAGAAAAGGATCTTAAATAAACAGAGAAAAAATATGCAATTATAATTACAAACATGTATACAGGATTAGCAAGAAAAAAAGCCAAATAATAAGATAAGTAAAAGAAAAATAATAACAAAAAAAAGCTGAGATGATGAATTGACTAAATTGTTGTATCGATGTTGTGTCATTCTGGTGTTGAAGATTTGCTGGGAAAAGAATAAAAGGGAAAAAGGAAATTATTCTAGAGATTTCCAAGACACCCTGCTCAATATTTCGGCCATAAACAGAAGATAGTAGAAAAATGAACCAGAGAATCACAGAATATTTAAAATTCCAGTTATGGTGGTGGTCATAGATAAATGTAGATCATAGTCCATACATATAAACAATTTGTTTTCTTTTGATTCGGTAATTCTCTAGTTTATGTATGCTAAATGGATACCTGTCAATTCGAGCAATTGAGTTGTGATAGAATAGAATTTCTGTGAATAATTTTAACAAACAATAGTCTGTATATGTCTTGCTATATCTCAATTGTGAATGTGATTATTTAGGCACTTAAGAATGATGTTTCATCATCATTAGATGGGCTGGACGTTTTGGTGTTTCAGGCAAAAAATTGGCATCAATAGTGCCTGGTTTTGGTGGTAATGGCGGCGGCTTCGGTCGTGGATCTTTTATTCTACCACTTTTCACATCCTCGTAGATGTCTGCGTACAGGATGTCGTCCATATCTTTCCCAAACGGCTATATTATGGCCAGATTTAATGATTGTAATTTATGAAAAAAAGCACAAAGTAAAAAAATTGAAAGAAAGATACATAGAGAGCAAAGAGATAGAGAAAGAAAGAAAAGAATAATTGATTAGAAAGCGAGGAAAAGATAGGCGTGAGGTACGGGTATTTCGGTATGTTTGCAAGGAAATAAAGGAAATAAAATGATGAGAAAAAAACCAGAAGATACAATGCATCGAAAATCAAGATGAAAGTGGCAAGGAAATTAATAAATAAAAAAGGCATGAAACAATGAATGAACGAATAAATTAAGATGAAAATCATCGGCAATAACAATAATAATAATAATAACAGAACAATAATAAAAATGGATCATCAACATTGACTTGATTGCGGTGATGGTGGATTATCGAACTGTAGGATAGCGTACTCACAATGTCCACCGCCAATGGAAGTGGCCGTATTTCCGGCCGTATCCACATTTGATTGGTGTGGATGATATATAAAGTTATTTGACCTTATACCACCACCACTATTAGAACCTGTTGGGGTCGGTGGATTATGATGATAATGACTTCGAATCGATGATGATGATGAACGAGAATCATCAGTCGGTGGCAATAAGGAACCAGCAATATATGGTGAATGATTAGTTGAATTCGATATGGTGGTCATTCTTTTAGCGAACGATAAATGTGATTGTTTGATCGAATCAGGTCGATCATAAGTATGATGGATGTATGGTGAATTATTTGAGTTGAATGTATTACCCCACCACCACCACCACCACCACTACTGCTGTGTGTTTTATTAGTAGTTGTAGAATTAGTTACATTGTAATGATTACTGTTCGTACTCGATGTTGATAGTGATGGTGGTGTTGATGAATCGGATGATGATCCATTGTTTTGTTGATTGTTATTATTATTGTTTGATGATGATAATGATGATGATTGTGATGAAGAAACATGATTTGGATAATGTTGTGATGTACGATTCGATTGTATCATTGGTCCTAATTGTTGATACATATTATTTGTATTTGTTTTGGCCAATGTTGATGAATGAAATGATGTAATGGGATGATGGTGTTGATATTGAGCTAATGTATGATTCTTGGCCATCGTTGGTAATCGTTGTTGATGTTGTGAATGATTTTGATGATGAGCAGGATGATTATGATGATTAGCGATTGAAGCCACATCGGTCATTGGTTTAGTTGCAATTGGGGGTGGTGGTAATTTTAGATCTGTGTACATCAAGGCTTGTGATGGATCATTATAAATACTGTATATATTAAGACCAAGATTCTGCGGTTATTTTGCGATTATTGAAAAAAGCCATAGGGTAAAACAAACAAAATTAGACATTAGGATCATCAAGCTTGGCATTTTTTACCTGATTCGAGGTGAATCTTGCCGATTGTGTACGACGAAAAGCTTCGATTGTATTATTCAATGTTTTGGTTGCATTATCATAGGTAGGAGGAATTGGTGATATCGATGAAGTGGTTGCAGGTGTAGCCGTGATTGGTGATGATTGCGGAAGCATTGGATTATGATGATGATAATACGAAGCAGCCATTCCATTTAGATGCGGTAAGCAATTCGGCTATGAGTATGCGTGCGTGTTGGAAAATTCATATAGTGAAGTTCATAAAGCATAAAAAGCGAAAAATTAATTTCAATTTTTTTTGATTTTGATTGCAAAAAAATTCAATTTAACATTCGATATCATTATAAATATTCATACCTTTCTATGAAAAGTCATATTCTCATACATATCTCCGGAGGTTGGCATCGTTGCCGTTGTTGATGAATTTGATGATGATAAACGTTCCGTTTCGGTGGCTTTCTTAGAGCTTGCCTGACTTTTTTGGCTTATAAGATCTATAGTGAAAAAAAACACATATAAATCAGTAAAGAATCAGTGAGAGAGAGAGAGAGTGAAAAAAATAAATTATGTTCACAAATTAGATTCATAAAAAAAGGATTAGGAAAAAATGCACTGCTAAATTGAATTTTAAATGAAATACAAAATCAAGGGTAAAGAAAAATTCTGGGAGGAAAAATGCAAGCCGAGATGAAATGGTAAAAAGATGTAAGATTCAAATAAACACCATCGATAACGTTCGTGTTTGTGTGTGTGTGTGTGCCAGAATCAAATTCAGAACCATTCTGTCCGATCCTGTTTTTTCGACAGGCCTTAAGGGTGAAATGAGATTGGAAATAACGTAATTCTAGCCGTAATTCTTTTCCTTATAAACAGTTCTTTTACATTTTGTATGATGTGATCGGCGACGAGTCGATGTTCATTCGTGAATGCTAAACAGACTTAAATCAGATCGTATATTCTTAGCTCAACATCTCAGTTTGATGTGAGTGTGTGCTGAAAAGATTTGCATTGATTAGCAAGAAAAAAAAGACAACTAAAGCATTCGATAAAGATCTATGGTTGTATGTAAAGCAGAAAATGATAATGAGAAAAAAAAATTCAAACAAGAAAAAAATTTCTGGTAGATGGAGAATTGTATTATGCTGATTATAACCAGCAACAAAATCAACAACAAAAAAAAATTCTGATTTTATATAGAGATTTTTTTCGACAAGAAAAAAAGCTATGGTTATGATTTAGTATTTGATGATGCTCATGTTGGCCATCTTGACTGATGTTGCTAGGGTCATTTCATCAATGATCAAAAAAGAGAGAGTTTTTAAGAATATTGTAAAGTCAGCACAATGTTGCCAATGTCAAGATATACAAAAGAATGATGACGACGATAATCATCACCATTGGAAATGATGTATATATACAAACAAAAGACAATAGAATCGTTTAATCGTTAGATACATTGCATGTGAATGAATAAACAAAAAAAAAAAAAAACAAACAATGGCCAATCGATCCAACACACACTTGCTATCGATGCACCCGTTTTTGATCATTATCCAAGATCGAAAAAAAAAATGTTCATTTATTCACATTGTCATTGTGCATATACAAAAGAAAACACATTTTTTCTCACATCTCGAATAATGATTATGGTTCATATATACTGTGTGTGTGTTTCTGTAGAATGTGGAATATTCAATACATAAAGAAAAAAGAATGGATTCAGGAGAGATTTGGAGACAACGATTAACTAATGGAAAAAGACCAGTAGCATAAACAAAAAATGCGGCACAAATAATAATGATCAGTTTGAAAGCGAAAAGATTGTTAATGTTGATATGAGAAAAATAAAATGAAATAAAAATGGCAAACAGAGAACGAAAAAAACGAAGAGAATTTCGGAGATTGGCTCGCAAAGATAATAGGCTATTATTTGACGGCAGAGAATGGTCTGTGTGTGCGTTTGATTGTCATTATCGTTTCCTATACACAAGATGATCGTGATTTCATGACAACCGCCGGTAAAAGTCATTGGAAAAAATTAAGATTCACCACAACCATCATTAACCATTATCATAATCAGTGATAAAGAAATCGTTTTCAAAGACCAAAACCAATTTCATATCTACACACAATCATCATAACCACATCATCACTAAATTCACTAGTGAGATTATACACACACACAGCATAATAATAATCAAGAATCTGGTCTAATGAATTTCCAAATAATATAAAGTAGTGGCAGAATTAGCTGTAACTGAATAATTATTTAGCGAAAAAAAAACAAAACTAAAATTTCGGTTGATTGGCCTGATGATGATCAGTATGATTGAATCTGGATTTTTGATAATTCATTATTACCAACAACAGATAAGAGATAGATAAAAAAGATTTTATGATAACACAAATGATGATACAATACCATTTTGATTGGATGAAACACGACTCGTCGATGAGCTTGGTGTTGGTGAACGATCTCCATCCGGACTGATGATTGTGTCATAATATGACATTTAAAGTGGATCAAACAACATATTTGATATTGACATTTCAGCGAATAAAAAAGCATTGGAACAAAAAAAGGGCAATCATAGTGAAGGGGATGAGAAAAAATGGATGATCATAATGTTACTATTATTATCGGGATATCATTCGTTTTTTTTGTTTTGTTTTGTTTTGTTTTTGGATTGGCATTCATACATCCACACACACACACACACACAAATGGAAAAACAGATGCAGACAATATTTGCTTGCTACATACATATAAGCTAGATTCGAGAATTTGAAAATTCTTGAAAAACAGTAGGCAAGAGAGAGAGAGAAACCATTTTTGACATTTTGATGATGTGCAAAGAATTTTAAATGTAATGACAAAGAAAAAAAACCAAAACCCAATCGAATAGAACAAAACATAAAAAAATGCAAGAATTGAGAATTCCAGCTCAAATTCTAATGAAACATAAATATATATACAACGACGACATGTTTTCTTCAAACAACACACACTTACAACTAATGGATATTGTGGAACCAAAACGACAACTTGTCAAAAAATCGTGGAAAAAAAACGAAAACTTGACAAAAGAGGTCCAATTAATATGTGTGTTTATAAATGACAAAATTGGTATTGGTTGTCATTGGAAAAAAAATTGACAGATACATTGGAATCCATAACTCATATTGGTTCTTTATATACATTAAACGACGACAATAAGAATTTTTGAAATTAATCTGTAAAGTTCATTATTATTATCCATATTTTGCCTCAAGAATAAATTGACCATTTGGCTCCATACCATTCTAATAATTATTCTTCTATACTAAATGCTAGTAATTGTGTATCTTAATTTTGTGATTCTGTCTTTGTTACCAACAACTGGAATGAATTGGATTGAAATTTTGAAATCTGAAACAAAACTAGACTGTAATTGATTGATAATATAACCAAATAGACAAATATTTGAGAACAAAAAGTATCATTTGTTTCATGTAAATTGTATGGATTCGGAAATCGAACCATAATCACGACAAAAATCAGCAGAGTATATATTTGATTCCTATGCTAATGATACGTTATTATGATCATGACTTTTGAATAGTGGAAAAAGTACACCTTTTATTTGAAATTTCTGGATCAAACTATTTTTGTCAAAAGTAACGAATAATGCAGTATCATTATATGATAAAACTAATGGAATTAAAATTCTTGTTTTTTTCAAAATTCAAACAATGTCCGTCCGTGTGTGTGTGTGTGTGTGTGCGTATGTAAACAATCAGGGTTTGTCAAATCCATTCATGTGCAAACTAATTTGCTTTGTTTGGATAAAATATTTGTCATACAAGAAGAAACAAAACTAACCGGACAACATTTCCAAATTGCTGAACACGGTTATTTTTCTACATCTACACAATAAACAAATAAAATTGGAAAATTTTTGTTTTTTTTTGTTTCATTTATTTCCTGTATAGAATTGGAACATCATTTTTTTCCCGGAGAGTAAATCAATTATTGATTATAAACAATAATCATTGATGATATTTGTCATGTTTTCGTGTGTGTAGATCGATCAATGATTGAATGTCTAATCAAAAATCGATTCATATAAACAAAGCTTATTCTATACATAAAAAGAGTGATTTTTTCAATTCTGGAATAAATTTTTCCATTTGTTCAGTATGAAATCCAAAAAACCAAAAATCTTCAAAATAAAGACGGATTTGCTTCTCAATTACATTTTGAAAGAAAGAATGAGTATTAGCGTTTATTGTTTAGACAAAAAGAATGAAAAAGGACAATTATTATGAGGACCATTAAATTCTTTCGATGATGACTAGAGAACGACGTCATCACCATCACCCAAAGTCATCATCATTGTGATGGCACTATCGAATGCGAAAAAAAAATCGGGTACCAAAAGTAAAGAGCAGGGAGCCAACTAGTTGGATAAAAAACAAAAACCAAAGCGATTCATCTATACGAATAAAGTGAATGGCTGCTGCTATGATTGGTTGAAAATAAAAAACAACAACAACTATAGAGTGGACGTTAAAGTCATTTGTTGTTTCAAGCAAAAAATGTTCAGTTGAAACGAATACATCGGTAGAAGAAACAAAAAAAACAAACCAATAACAAAACCATTATTTAGAACAATTCGCTTGTTAAGGGTAAAGAATTCGAGCAGCAATAGGTCAACTGCAAAATCATCAAACATTAATCACAATGGAGCTTTAGCTAGATATATATAATGGCCATTAATTACCGGTCGATCGAAACCAATTGGCTCCCTGCCCATTTTTTCTTTTTTTTGTCTGGCCAAATCTCGAATCAATGGATTGGATATAACCGATTTTCTGTTGTTGTTGTTGATGATGATGATGCTTTTGCTATTGTCGTTGTTGGGTCATCATACAATGATAGAATCTAATAATGAAACTAACAATGATCGGAATATTGGTTCGATTAAAATGAGCGAGAATCATATTAGGTTATTTTGCGGAATAGAATCATATATTGAAAGAAGTTGCTAAACAAAAAAAAGTTGAGATTAATGTATATGGGGGTAATAAATAACCGCAAACTTGGTTCGATTCCAGCGCTCAAACACACACAATGATAACATTTGGACCAATATTTTATGGTTCATGATCCTGCAAATCATACATGCACTATATTTTCAACGTTTTTTGGTTATATATTTGAAAAATAAAACCATTGGAAAAGGTTTATTGGCGTATAAAATAAACAGAATTTATGATACCCAAGAAGAAAAAAAATCTATCAACATAACCCGAAACTTGAATAGTCGAATGACATGAAAATGTTGGAACCAACAACCACAACAACAAAGAAAACTTTTTCTGAGAATGTTCCATTTAGAAGATTGAAATAAACAAATAAAAATGGGTTCACAACAATTTTTCTAATTATAATGACTTGTTACAATTTCCAATGTTTGTGTTCAGAGAGTTCCCTATAATTAAAAGAAAAAACCTGGCCTCCAAAAAAAACCATGAATTTATTTCGATTCTCATTCAGATGCTGTCTCAATCAATATTAGTGACCGTTTCCTTCCTTCCTTCCGTTTCAAATCGTATTGTCATACTTTGTCCAGCTCTGAATGTGTGTATGTGTGCGTGGGCAAATGTCAAGTGGTCATTCTCTCATCGTATATAAGCAAGCAAACATTATTTTTCGTATTGATTGTTAGTTTGTGTGTGTGTGTGATTGAATAAGCACCCAAAGTCGAGGATTAAATTCTCGACAATTGAAAAATTGATTAGATAAAAAAAACACCGAACGAACAAACTTACTTTTCTCGTTTATCTTTATCTGTTACCACATTTCATCATCAGTTTTATATATGAAAAACATAAAAACAAAATGCAAATAACACATGTGTTTGAGGTCGACGACATCAATAATTTGGTACAACATTTGATTTGGAATAATTTGGAATCATACACAAATAGTTGATGGTGTGAATGGCGATGATTTATATATTCAAAATGACCAACAATTTTTTTTGTTGTTGTTGTTGAAATTATTCAAAAAAAACCATGGATTAATATAATGATGATGATGATGATGATGATTGTGATAATTTTTGGGGTCGACGAATGAAGAAATTCAATCAAAACGAAAAAAAAATGAACGTGTAAAAATGGGGAAAAAAAGAAAAATAAAAATAAAAAATGTTAAACGAAAAAATCAACAACAACAACAACAAAAACAGAAAACATGAAAGGAATTATTATAAAGAAATGAAAATGAAATTAAAGAAGAAAATAAGAAGAAATTTTGGGCCAAAAAAAAAACATTATTATTATTATGGCCATTGTATGATAATTGCATAAAATTTGACACTTCGTAGCAAGGACTTACATACACACACACACACACACACACACACACAACAAAACCATCATCATGGCCATTTGATATTATCACAATCCACATCTTGATTCATCCATCCATAATTTAAATGCTTAAAGCTAATTGAAGCTAAGCTTTGATTTTTTTTTTGTGGAGAAAGAAAAATAAAATCAAGATCCATTTTTTTTTCTTCTCTATTCGAAGAAAAAGTGAAAAAAAAATTTGAATATTGAAATTGGGAACAAAAGAATATTAAAAAAAAACTTCGACGAATGATGATGTACGCGATTGATTGAGTCATCAAATTTAAATATTAAAAAAAAACCTATATGTAAACTACATATGTGTGTATGTTTGTAACGTTTCGAAATATCTATTTTTTTTATTCATTCATTCATTATATGAATGGATGATGAATGAATTTCATTCATCATTCATCTAGTGATTTTATCACAATTCAAATACTTGCACTACTTGTTCGATCATTTTAATATATGCTTTTTTTTGGTTTTGTGAATTTTTTTTTATTTTTGAAATTCCCCTTTTCTTTAACCATCATGATGATAATGTTAACAAAGTTTTGAGCAAATAAACTTTGTTTGAATGAATGAGTGGATTCAATGGATGGATGAGAATGGAACAATAAATAGAAAAAAAAATGTTTGTTCAAAAAAAAACTCGTGCCAATTTATATACAATGCTCAATGTAATGCATCAAAATTCATCTGGGGCCAATGTGCATGTTTGTGATGGAATGGCAAGAGAAAAAGAATTCTTTCTTTCATTCATTCTTTTTTTTCTCGATTTTTGGTGACAATAATCGAATTAAAAAAAAAGAAAACAAAACAAAACGAAAATAAAGGACTGTAAAAAAAAAATTTGGATTGATTGAATGCAATGAAAATAAACCAAACTTGCAGATTGCAGATTTTCAGATTGAGAGTTGAGTTTGTTTTTTTTTCTATTCAATTTGTGGTTGTTTGTCATCAATGACGATGATGATGATGATGATGATGATCGAGGGCAACAAACATCATTCAAATGAGACAGAAAGAATCCAAAAACTGGACATAAGAATAATACACTGATTTCATATGACAATGGAATAGATTTTGTAATCGCAAAAAACGTCAAATGACTATTGTTCATCATCATCATCATCATCATCAATATTGTGTTAAAAGTTTTTGATCATCAACATTGTTTTTGTTTTGTTTTGCTTAGCAAAAGTTGAAATTCAGTAAAAAAAAATGATTATAGCGATATATAATAAACAGAATTCACCACATATCATTAATATACGAAAAAAAAACAAACTCAAATTTGCTAAATAAATGAATATTTGGAATATAATGGGCGGAAAAGAATCCGCGACCGCATTCAGTACTAAATTTTCATTATATTTCTCTGTATATGTTTGTGTATGTTTATTCCATATTCTCATCATTTTTTTTTGCCCAACACAATATTCATTGAATACATATACAAAAAAGTGCCCAACGGCATGGTTGGTTGGTATTGTGTATGTAACCAAAACAGCCATTCACAATATAAACTTGAACATTAGTCAATCAAGTCATTGAATTTTTTGTGATGCACGAATTCACATTCATTTATGTTTCAAATTTTCCGAGGTTGTTCCTAGATCCATTCATCATTTTTTTTTCGGCAGCAATTTTTTTTGTGTTGTTTTCGAAAAAAAAACAACAAAAACAAAGTCAATACTATAATATATGTAGTCATTCCGTGTATGTGTGTGTGTGTAAATAAACAACAAAGTTTGTACTTTTATGATGTTCATCATAATAATAATAATAATAATAATGTTGATGAAAAAAACAACGAACGAACAAAAAAAAACAAATGTTTGCCATGAAAAAACATAACAAAGAATTCAAATGAATCCTTACTACTAATTGGAAGGATGAATAAAAATGAAAATGAAAAAAATAATTCGAAAGAATCGTTCATTTTTTCATGTTCGTTATGAATACATCAATCAATCGATTGATTGGCTTGATATATACGGGAATAAAATTTCAACCAATATCGGGCATTGATTTTTTTTTTTTTTCATTTTTGAATTGGATTGAACACCTCTAGCATGAAAAATGATCGTGATGATCATCTTCAATCAAATATAATATTTTTGTGAAAATCATAACAAAAAATTGGTGAGCAAAAGTTTTTTTTAACGAATCCAACAAAAAAAATGATTGAATGAATTTACATAATTTCTATTGTTGTTGTTGAAAACATCATTGCATTTGTTTTGTTTTGTTTCTCCCCATAATCATGACCTACAACAACATCACCATTATTTCTAACAATGATCACACATTTGAAAAATATAATAATGTAAGATTCATTTTTGAACTACTTTGGAGAATACGTTCCAAGCAATATATCGCCAGTATATACATTAAATGGTTGCATGTAGTCATTGTTTTTTTAATGCTACTTTTTTTTGATGAAAATCGTTTTTGGCCAAAAAGAACACAATGTTTTCCGCAAATGTTTATATATATATTATTTAAGTCATCATAATCATAATTCTATTCGGATTTAATTGTTTTTAAACCATAATCATAGAAGATAGTAAAGGCGAAAATTGGTCAAAATGGTACTTGTATGTACCATCATCATCATCGTCATCATAATAACGATTAAAAAATTGAAATGAAATGGAAAAAAATGGCAAAATATAATGGACACATATAAATATCTATGCAAATTAGGGCATATATAATAATAAATTACTATGCTTTTAATGTTTTGTCACAATATAAATATGGATCATCATTATCATCATCATCAACATGATGATCATCATCATGATATAGGTCTATTTACAATTTCTTAATTGGCCACAAATTGAACAAATGGATCATTATAATAATTACTAATAATGGAAAATAATGAAAAAAAAACATTCAACATTATTCATTTTGTAACGAATTGGAATCTTACGATTCTTGTATCTAAAATTCTGACAAAAATTTGACAATGGCACATTTTTGTGAATTATTTTTTTTTGTTCAGTTCAAACAATAGATTTGATTGAAAGGAATAGATAGACGGAAGTAGCAATAGATAGAAAAATGGATAGAAATGCAGGGAAAAAAGGAAATTTAAATTTGAATGACAAACACTTACCGTTTTTATGACGACGACGTTTCATCATGAATATTAGACATAACAATATGAATAAAAAGGCGAATATAATGGCTACAATGACCGCTGATATGATCAATAATGATTCATCATCTAGAACCGATTCGGCAGCTATTAAAATGGTAAATATGTGGGTGGGATTGGAATGGAATTATGAAACAAAAAAAAAGTCAAGGTTACATTTTGCACACAATTCGTGTGTGTGTGTGTGTGTATATATAAAGATGGATGAGCAATCTATCTCACTCAATCACAATATTTTTTTTTCTCTCTCTCTCTTTCTTTGTAAGTCTGTCTGTTTTGGCTAAATGTATGTCATTCTCATTATCAAGCAACAACAACAACAACAACAACAACAAAAAGAATACTTGATCATTCAATTTAGGTTCGATTCAATCGAATTGGCAAAGATGGATTGCTTTTCTATTTCTGAATACAGTATATGGTTAGTTGGTTGGTTGGTGGTAGGTCCATTTGTTTTCTCTAACATTGAATATTGTTTATTGTTGTTGTTGTTGTTGTTTGTGCATCATTTATTTGAAGCTGAAAATTTATTCTCTTTTATTTTGATGAACAAAACATTTTTGAAATTCTTTCTGACCAATATAAATGAATGTGAGTATAATAGATGATAGAAAAAATTCTTGTTCATTCAGGATCGATATTTGTTGTTGCCTAGGCCTAGATTCAAATGAAAATTTCACATTCAAAAAAAGTCAGATATGATGATCATCATTATTCATGGATTATGCCTAAAAAATAACCATAAAAAATTCCAAGTGCAAATAACTTTAGAATATCGAAGTTTAATATAATAAAGGCAGACTTTAATTAATTAATTTTTGGGTTGTTTCAAACATCGACAAACAAAAGTAATAATTAAAATGAAAAATTATGACTGTAAAACCACTTGAATTTTGGATAGAGTAAAATTCAACTTGAAAACTTGTTTGTGTTTTGGATGACTATCAATAAAAAAAAAAGGTTTTTTTTCTGGAACCAGCCTAGCCAAACAAAACAAAAATACGTAGTTTGAATATATGAATTTCTCTATCACAGTCACAGTATACTTGAGTATTTGCAACACTTGACATGTGGTTTTTCCGCTTCGGTTATGCAATGTGTGATAATTAATAAAAATAATTTTCAGAATTTTTATTCCATGAACATTCCCAAGAAATAACAATTATGATGTTTTTTGGTAAGGCAAAAATGTTTCATCCATTACATTGATAATAATGAGAAAACTATATGGATGAGATCGGAATGTGAATGGTCCTGTTTTACTAAATAATTATGAGTATATGTGTAATTCATTCATGATATCTTAGAAAAGTTGTGTTTTTGGAATGAATAATAAATTCATTAATAAATTGCTTACACTGACCACTAACAGTGAAATAAGTGAAGTAAATTGCCCATTCTTAGATGTGTGTGCGTTATGAATAATAATGAATGAATGAGTGAATTAAACAAAAAAACTTTCATACCGATTGGTGCATCAACGAATAATGTACAATTCGGATCGGTTTGTCCGACTGTATTTCTTGCTGAACATGTCCATGTACCAAATAATTGTTCTTCATATGCCGGTATAATTATCTTGGATTTCATACCATCTTGATGCGATAATTCATCGATAAATGTTTGATTCAATTCAGTACCATTCAGTGACCAGAAAAATTCTAGCCCATTACTTGGATTGGCGAATGTTATTTCACAGATAAGTACTACATCTTGATTTTCTTTTCCTGTTCTACTTTCATATATAGTACATGATGGACGATCTGATCAAAAAACAATGATAATCATTAATGGATTTCGGTAACAATATTGAAACAAAGAAATAATCAATCAATCAATCAATCGATAGATCGATACATCAATCGATCGATCAATGGTAATGGAATGAAAGTTGAAAAAATGGCACATCACTTACATAGAACATTGATTTGTAGATCGATTCGTTTTTCACCATGTCGATTTGATGCAATGCAGGTATATGTACCGGCACTATCTCGTTGAATGGTACGATTCAAGGCCAAAATAGGCGTATCAGCAATTACGCCAGTGAATTTATCATAAAATGAATTTGAAATCCATCGATAAGTTGCTTCCGGTAGTGCATCACTATCACAACGTATTTCTGGTAAATGTTCATTTTCAATCACATCAACACGAATTGATGATAGGCGAAGATTCTCAGGCGCATCTGTAACAATTAATATTGATGACAAGAACATTAATTAATCAAATTAGAATTAAAGGCGAATTTGTTCAATCAACCACTTGTCTTCAAGTGATTATTATTAATTATTTTGAAACTTTTTAGACAGTGGAAACTCAAAACGTGCGCAGATTTCAGAATAATAATTGAACCCATTCTTTTCATGAGTGAAATTTTTTTTTTGATTTTTTCCATCTAATTTTGTATAATCAATTATAAAATAGACATAGTTTTGCTGGCTGCATTCCGTTATCATTTGACACAGTATTACTAATGTTAATCGATCAATCAATCAATTAATCTTTGGTGCACACACACACACACTCAAACGCATAAAATAGTGATGTGTATGGAAACGAGAAAAAAACGTAGTAAAAAAAAATATTCAATGATAATCAGTGATGCGAAACAAATTAGTTCCAGTTTCATTCTTCCATTGTTTCGACGGTGAATATCTCAGCGCTTTCTCTGCACTAGTCTATTGTTAGGAAAGAGAAAAAAATCCTAAAGAATCCATTTTTCTGGAATTCATTTGAATGAAACAGAAAGAAAAAAAAGAAAAATTTTATCGAGTGTTGACCTGAAAACCTGGGTCGCCGTCATAATCAAAATTGAAAAAAAATGATATAATATTCAAGATGATAATCTCAAGGATAAATTCATCGATTCAATTATCGTTTTATTAATTACATTTTTCTCTACCGGAATCATCGTAAATTGAATTGAAATGACAATTTCGATAATTTAATAATTTTTCCCAAGAGAAATTCTCATGCAAACATAAAACGATATTCAATTCAATTGGTCTATTCCATAGAAAAATTGTACATAATAAGAAAATTCTTTCTAGAATGAACAACGTGAAATGTTATATTTTACGAATAATTCTCAATTCATTTTGGGATGGAAATTTTTTTTTCTTGTTTGGTTTGATTTCCTTTCAATTTGATCAGTGGACTGTTACGAATCATTGAATCATTCAATGATTCGTCAATGTTCAATGGAATTTCGTTTTGAGCAAAAAAAAAAAAAAAATAGAATTCGAAAAAATGAACCGATCGTTCGAGGCAATTTTTCGTTTGTGGCAACATCATCTACACAAATGACCATAAATCTTATATTATCAGTGAGAAAGAGATGGCTATTAAACAGCAAACAAAACCAACACCAAATTCTATCAAACTAATAATATACTTTTAAAAATAAAGAAAAAACTATAAATCTAAATCTAAAATTACATCTGATAAAAATTAATTTTAAAATTCAAGGTAAAAAATCAAATGGTTAAAATGAGAAAGAAATGATATTTTCTTTCTAGTACGATGACGATATATTCGTTTATATAACGATTGCAACAATGTTTTGCCATCATCATTGAATTCGTTGTTTATCGAATTAGTGTAAGAAACGAAACTCATAAATCTACCACATCATATACCTTCTTTGTCCACACATATGTCCAAATGAAAATAAGTGCATGCAGTAAATCACGTTCATATGACACCATAATTCTAATAACGCCCTGAATTAATGGGGGGCACAACCATATGAGCATAACCAATTCAAGCAATTCATCATTCACAGTACTGTTTTATCAGTGAAATCCGGAATGAACAAAAAAAAGAAATATAAATTGTGATTCAACACTTTGAAATGTCTTGTTTGTACATGTTCTTAGAAAAAAAAGATTTATTCCATTTCTACGAATTAAAAGATTCAAAACAAACTTTGATAAATGCAAAAGAAAATAACGACAAACAAAATAAAAAGAAAAAGATCTTATCGATTCAAATTAAGTCATTACTGTGGGTACCAAATAAATAAGACAATTCATTGATTTATGAAATCAAAAGAAAGATGAAATCAGACAGGCGTATCAAACAAAATAAAATGTACAACCACAACAAACAGAATTTGGAGTGGAACAAAATTCTTGATCGTTAATAATAATAATCATGATTGGGGCTAATATTTCTACAATAAGAATGAACAGAATCGGAAACAACAACTGATTGAATAGTTTGGATGGATGTATCGATGAGAAATTTGTTTATCATTTGTTTTCTTACTTTACCATCTCAAGACATTGATTTGGTCCATGTATTCAATGATGTTTCGATTAACTTTCGATTCAAATTGTCTAACAATTCTCACTAAAAGATCAATACAAACGAACAATCAGCCACCAAAGAAATGGTAAAATCAGACATCTTAACCAAAAAGCAAAATTTGTTGTCAAATTGATAGGATATTATTGTAAGTGAAGCAGGAATTAATGTTGTAGAAAATGTTGCCAAGAAAATCATTGTAATATAGATAGAACAAGCAAGGAAACAACGAAAAAAAATCGAAAGCAGAAATACACATCAATCAATCGTAATAATACAAGACAGAAAAAAATCCATCGATAAAGAAAATGAACAACAAGAATTCTAATGTGAAAACAAATAGCATATGATGCGAGCCGTAACCAAAAAAAAAAAAAAAAAACAATCGAGTTCCAAAGACCATCTCCTCTCGCTCGAAAGAACATAACGAAAGTTCCGGCCAAAGATCAATCGTTGGCCAAGTGTTTCGGAAAAAAGGCCTAAAAGGAAATAGCCGCCTTAGACCAGAAAAAAGCAATTCCAATTAATAATATTAATAAATCAGAACAGGAATAAAGAGAAATTCTGGCCATTGGATATAACAATATAAAATATTGTGACAATAATGACCACACCGTTGTTCTATTATTCTGTAATTTTATGTTCGAGAAAAATATAACCAATAATATAGAATTGTGAACAGTAATGTGATCGATTTCTATCACTATCACAATGGTGGTGTAAGAGTGAAGGCAACAAAGATTTATCGTTTTATATTATTATAAATATGCAGACAAACAAGCAATGAATAGTACTCAACAAAATCCATCTATCATATGGTATCTAAACATCCAGGCTTGTGTTTTCATGGAAACAGAAAACCTGTGTGTTATAATTTCGATATAACCCAAGGCGTTTATAGCTTGTTGTAATGTAAATCAAAATAATGTTAAAAACACATGATGTATTCCATAAGGAAATTCTTCCTATGTTGATGATAATGATGAAGATCATCGTGTGGGTTTTCACACGGAAATTATCTGACTAGATCCATATTGTATTGGCATCAAGTGGACCACACCAAACCAATATTGAATATATGATCGAATTCTGAAAACGTTTCAAGGCAAATAAGAAGAAAAAAGATTTTCAATGACACTTGAAAGAAGAGAAAGCAAGCATGCATGTACATACAAATTTGCAAAATCTTTTATTCGAAATAAAAATGTGTTTTCGACGAAAACAAAAGAAATAAAAAATACGAAAATACAAAAAGAAATAAAAAGCACAAATGTATCTTTCCACTTGTTTGGTCATCATCATCATCATCATCATTGTCAGTGGTCGAGATTTCGTTTTCAGATGGTTTTTGATGTTTTTCAGACAATGTATGTATGTATGTATGTAAGATGATGATGACGATCGGTGAACGTGGCCCTAGCAAGTATATGAACCAACGAATGAGAAAAACAGGAAACGCGAATAATGATGATGGTGATGATGACAAGTGAAAAAACTGTTGAAGTGGCAAAAAGTAATTCACACACACACACACACACAAACATATAGAACACAAGTAAACGGGAAAGTTTGTTTGGTCGAGCAAAATGCTGCAAAACATTCTGGAAATGATGAATCTTTAACAACAAAGAAAAATGATGATGATGTGGGAAGAGAGGGAGAGAGACACAAATGGAACTAAGAATCAAAGAGTGGTCGTCGATTTTTTTTTTTTTTTTTGCTTGCTGGTTGACTGGTACATCTTTTCAATCCTCATTCATAAGATTTTCGTTTTTTTTCTTCTCTAGCATTCGGGTACCCGATTCACTTGAATGAATTCCCTTTCAGAGTAAGAAACATTTTTTCGAGAATGAAGATAGACAGCATTCAAGAGTAACAGCATTTATTGTTCACCGATCATGGAAACAAAAAAAAAAAATACAAAGATCAGTGTGATAGACAAAACGTGATATACAAATAGTAGAGATAATCAATACCAAGTAGGCTAAACCAAGAAAAGAAACAGATTTTTTTCTTATGTTTTTTGTGTTGAAAAAAAGTTTCTAATTTTGCAGAATGACCAAAAAAAAAAAAAAATTCAACGGAAAGTTGTTGTTGGACTTCAAAACAATCAACTATTATTTTTGGGTAAAAATTCATCCCAACACTTATTGGTATCATATGAAATAAATGGAATACTGAATTCGTAATTGTACCAGAAAAAAAATCATTGCAGTTGACAGCAGCAGCAACATTATCACTTTAATGCATAAAGTTTTCTTTCTTTTTTTTTTTTTTTTTTTTTGGAGTGCTAGCAACAAAATTCATTCGAACATTTAATTGACTTGCAATTACAATCAAAAAACAACAATAACAATAAAGAACCAACGGTTTTTTTGCTCGGATGCATCAACTTGAAGAAATAGGACACTATAGTCATCAAAATCATCATCATCAAGATATAAAAAAAATAAATTATCCGGATTCAATAATGGACACACAAAAAAACAGAGACACTGGTTCGCTTGAACACACACTCATACACATATGCATGAAATGAACAATTATCTTGAACAACCAAGGCGACAAAGAAAATGATGTCCTGCTCTTTGTTTGACATTTCTTCACTATTTCCTACAATTTGTTTTCATATACACTTGTATTGCCTCGATATTCTTATTCCATAAATCATTCACATTTAGAAAATATAAACGGAATTAACTTAAGTGAATATTCCAAAATTCTCAAGAAATTTTGTCCCTTACATATTGATAATGATTATGACAAACATCGATTAGAGTTTTGGGGCAATCAACTCGTTTGAAACCAATAATAAGCCTAAGAAAGAATTTAGTAATTCGTCGATTATGAATCAATGACCACACACAATGAATATAT